AACATGCTAATTAATAGACGCACGGGGTTAATAACAGCACTTAATGTACCATCTTAAGTTCTAATTGGAGCTGAACCGTTACGCATAACTCTCCTAATACAGACCAGCTAAGTTGATGACAGCCCTTTTTCCTTGCTGTATAGGCTTGAATTATAAGCGATTATTGTGTCAAAGGATAATAATTTTTAGGTCGGGTCATGAGCAACAGGCTTCTGGTTTTAACTAGTTCCTATAAGCGAAGCTTTCGCTAAGGGTTGCCAGTTAGATCTTAAGTTTCAGTTTTCGACGTTTATTCTTTGTTATTTAGGTGACAAAAGCGTTCTTCTCCTTTTTAGTCCAGTAGGTCTAAAACTTAGTAAGAAACGGTTTAACATCAGTTTAGTAAAGCTAAAAGAACTGATGCTTTTCACTAACGATTGCTTTTTTAAAAGAAAATAGAACGTTTCAAGGTGAGTGGCTGAGTTAACTTTAGACTAGTTTTTTGTAATTTGCCTAAATTGGGGCTTAGAGCTCAGGAAAGAGGCCTCTCAACACAAGATTATGTGGCCTTTACTCTAAAAAGCTTTATAATAAATAATTTATGAACTCTTTTAAACAACAGCTTAATGCCTGTTTAATAGGCTTTAGAAGGGTTAAGCTAGTACGCATATTTCTTAAAGTTATTATTACTTAGAAGGTATACTGTAAAACAAGTAAATTTAGTAAGAGATATGACGGAGAAAAGAGGAGGGTCGACCAGTAGAGGGAGGGTATTTAGACCTTTAGGAAGAATTATAAAATGTACAAAATGTGGCGCAAACGTAAAAAAAAAACACGTGCGCACATGGTATAAATAACGGACTAGACACGTGGGTTCGATACATGTGATAGAGAACGCATGGTTATGTACCACGTGGTTAATCAAAGTTAACTCCAGCAGAATATGATAATCGAGATATGCAACACGGCAGATTCGTAGTAAAAGTGGAGGTATAGGCGAAGCTTTATGTTTTTTTTAGTATTATAGATATTTCCTGGCGCTCGAACGTGACGCAAAAGAAAACACTAGAGCTCCCAAAAGGGTGAAGGCCTTCACAGTACTTTAAAGTTTGTGCTAAAGCAACCTCGTACATAATTATTCTTTTTTTATAAAAATAATATATTAGACCAACCCATAATAAATTTAGAGCTCAATGCGCTGTCAGCAATATCGTGAACCGTCCCAAATTTCGCAATTGACTCTATTTGCCAGTAATTCATTGATGTGCACATTGAGCCGATAGTGGATGGCGAGTGAAAAAAGTTTAACCTGGAAGTCTTAATATCGGGCATCGTTGCGAACAAACCAGGCATGCCCGTCATAAGGCGAAGCAGCTAGTTTTGCCTCACTTAAGGCAGAGAGACTATTACTGATGAGTCAATGCCCTAGGCAATAGACGCTTATGTCATAATTGGTAAGATACACAATACATACAAGTGCCGTTTGTTGTGCACGGGATTTTGCCACGGGCACAAAGGTATAGAGTTGAACCAGACGTCTTGTACAAGAGCTTATTGTCGATAATTCCCCCAGATACTTCGTCTGAGAACACCAATGAATTACTTAGTTTTCAAAAGTCATTGGTGGTAGCGGTGTATTGCGCTTTTTCGTGATACAAGGGGCTTTACTTTTTCTGCATTATTAGTAATTTTTCAAAGACGTCACAATTGACAAACGTCACCGTAATACTGCAAACGCTGACGCAATAAAATAGGAGATTTTAGCGAGGGGTTAATGCGCATATAAAGCAATGCGCGTGTGAAAGTCATCAGACTGAGATACGCTACGCATAAAGTACGGAGAGTCGGGGTAAAAAACCGAGATCTTTGTAAGGTTCAGCTGAGAGTGGTCTTAGGGGTGGGCGCGCACCGCCCACAAGTATATTCAAGACGCAGTCTTTAAGGAAAATTTGATCACGTAAAAAAGAATAGTGGGAAGCTATGGCTAGCAAGTTGTGAAGCGAGCCCTTGTGTTAAACTTGGTCAAACGCTTTTTCGACATTAGAAAACATAGCGCACGTTGTTTTTTTAAACAGAAGTCACAAGTCGTCCAATTTGTCAAGCGAAGGTGTTATTGAATCGTGGAGTGTCCTTGTCGAATAAATTTGAACTTTGACAGGGCGTGACCTGCGTCAACAAGTTCTTTGAAGCGGTGCATTATGGCCGCCTCAGCTACTTGCCAACACCTGACGGCCGATAGACCTTATTTGCTTGACGTAGGCGCTGGTTCGTGGTTTTTTCGGGAGCAATGGGAAGGTTCCGAGAGCCATCGTAGAGTTGACGAGGCAGTATGTACTTTTTACCGACCATTAATAACCACTCAAAACATCATAGTGATGATACCTTTAGGGCAAGGTGCCTTTAGTCTCAAGATGTTCCTCGGCATCAACAGAAAGAAGTTTAATTTACAGGAACTTCATCTGTATCTAAACAAGTGGGTGGCACACACTGATTAGCGAGGTGACCAGCAAAAAGTGTCTTTTTTACAGCTTCATTTTCCCCCACGTATTGCCGTCTCCCATAGTAGGTAATGGTAAACGCGCTCGGTTTGTGTATTTTATAATAAGCTTCAGAAAAAAGACGCGATTGTTATCTTCTGATATATCACTTAACTTTGTCTCTCACAATCAATTGTGGTGCGCCAACAGCTCCTTTTTAATGTGTCGGCGTAGTCTATAAAGCGCTAATTCATTTTCGAGGCAGTGTCACACCGTGGCCACTCGAATAAGGCGCCAACCCTCGAAAATAAGGGCCTTCAATTCATTAAGCAATCGGTGGGAGAGGGGCCTAACTTTCACCTGTGGTCGTGGTAGTATGGTACACCATGGTCACAGCGCCCTCGAGTTCAGCAACAGCTATGTTAAGTAAGGCGGAAGGTGTCAAAAAGGTTGTATCAAAAACTTAGGAGAATTGAGTCTATTCCATAAAAGTTCTGATATATTTTCTCAGTAGATCCTTTTCGCCGCCCAAATTAAGTAGAATTGGCAGATGGTCCGAGGTGAGTTCGTAAAAAGCAGCTTAATTTGCCATTGTTTTATTAATAATTCTAAAACGGCAACATCTAAAACGTCTGATATCCCCGTCTTCGCCATGAGCGTTGGTCATTCTTGTCCTCAGACTCGAATTCCGCGCTCATCGGTGTAAGATTCGAAAATCGGACGCGTAATTACCGACATGGCTCTTCCATGCAGGATGCTACAGTTAAGACACCCACATACCATAACAGAGGAATAATAACTAAAAAGGGCATCAAAATCCATAATAATAAATGACCTAATGGGGGCTTGTAAGCTGCAATTACCGTCATGGACCACTGGGTGGTTAAATGGAGGGAAACACCAATCACCTCAATGCTTTGCGGAGCAGGTAAAGAAATGTTTCGTCTGACCAATATAGCTGCGCCTCCACCGCCACTATCGAGTCGGTCTTGGCGGTACATCGAAGAGTTACAGAGAGTGAAAGGAACGATCATACTTATAGCACACAGATCAATTCTTTCGCGTTTAATCAATTCCTGCAACTCTTGTTTCCTATATAGAATTGCCATCTGCGTTACGGACCAGAGGACGGCTATGACAAAGAGCTCGTGGTCTAAAAATCATTGTAAATGTATTACCGACCTTTAACTACCTCTAACATTATTGCCAGGTTTGTTGTCAAAGTGTTGCTTTACGGTTGTTGAAAAGTTGTCTTTGTGGTAAGCGAGCGACATAAGAAATTGTCGGTGTTACAATAGAAGGCATCTGTTGTTGAAGCGTTGATAAAGCCGTTGGATTCAAAGGTGCAGGCCTTTGCGGGTAATGTTTGCAGCCACGAGTGTTGGCACTGTAGGTTTCACCGCAATTAGCACACTGGCAGGACTTCCTGGTGCTTTGCGCACTGTACAGTCAGATAACCTTCACCACATATAACGCATCGGGGGTCTGCAGAGCAGAAACTTGCGCTGTGTCCAAATACCTGGAGGATGGGGCACTAACCGCCTTGATTACTCTTTCGGAGTTCTTCCGCCCTTATCTGAAGAGAGGAAACTATCTTTACTTCCCACAGCATTTTTTTTGTCGATCACACCTCGGTATATGCACTAACACCTTTAGTAAAGGTACTACTCCGTGAGAATTCCATTGACAGTGCCCTCAGTGTACATCTTTGCCACGCGTAGAGGCGAGATGCCTTGCGTACATAAGTCTTCCTCGACGGTTTGAACCTTATATTGCAATAGATTCCACGAAGAATAAACTTTAAAGGCTTGTCCTCTGGTAGTTAGTGGGTAATGGGGTAGCGCTTCATCATGCAAAACTTAGTGACGGTTTGATACTCGTCTGCGGTCGCAGGAAATTTTATAATTCCTTGACGTGTAGCAATAAGTACTGTTGCCGTTAGTGTTATCTACTAGTACTATATATATATATGGGGCGCATCCCTTCCTAGACTCCGAAATATTTTGGCGCCGTTGGCTAGTAGAAGTTTACCGAAATGTTTCCACTTTTGTTTTCGCAAAGAACCACAGGCGGGGTCTTTTTATTTTTTCCTAAGAGGAGAGGTAGCCGCGGAAGGTGTCTTGGAATCGCTGGAGGTAACTCGGGCATTGTGAGAAATATTGCATTTCTCTAATTAAATTTTTTTTTTAGGCGTTGGCATACTACAACCGGTCTTCTTAAGAGACCCTAAGCCGCGTAATCTAAGTCCCCAGAGGTTAAGGACGAAAGCCCACCAGTATACGCTCAATATATAGAGCTATAATGACTTTTTCGAAGAACTGGAAACTCGGGAGATATTCAGCCAGGACTCTACTATTTGGGCTAGTGTGGTGGAAACCGCTAAAGACCACTATCAGGAGAGGCAGGCACAAGTCCCAAGGCCAGCGTTAGCTCCGCACTGTTATTAACCCCCTCATTTAAAAATAAAACCTCGCGTGCATCTGCATCACGCATTAGAGTACCTGTATAACGCTATTGCGGTGTGGAAGCCAAACTCTACACTAACATGGCCTGTTTGGCTTTTTTGATCGCACAATTTTTACACTCTGAGATTGCCTCTTTTAAAAAAGATCCAGACAAGTCGGAAAGTTTAGAAGGTTTTAAAGAAAACTTTCTTTTAGATGCGCTATTATTTATATATGTAAAGTTGCTTTGCAATGCTTGGAGTCGACTTACGGGTTTTCCATATCTAATGAAGAAGATAAAGTAAAATATAATAAAGAAGGTCGTTATTAATAATTTACTTTTCTACACTGAACGAATTTTTTAATAATTTTCTTAGAATTTGACTTAAGAACTTTAGTTAACGAGGGAAAGAGGGCCATTAAGCAGGTAACTTCTCTATTATCACCTTTACAGTCGTTTTAATATATTTAATGGTTTAGCAAGTCTCGGAAGATGTTATTTCTGAAGAAAATAAGAAGGAGGCTGAATTATTAAAAACCAAAGGTATACAATATTTTTTTATACATCCCTGTTAAATTTTTTTTGTAACTTTTCTTTTGCTTAGGAAACGAAGCACTTACTTTAGAGAATTATAGACTTGCTGTTGAACTCTACTCGAAAGCTCTTAAGTTGAACCCGTGCTCACCAGTTTACTATGTGAATCGGGCTGCAGCCTACACAAAGCTTGAAGAATTTGAGCTGGCCATTGAAGATTGTGAGAAGGGCATTGAAGTAGATCCGCTCTACAGCAAAGCCTACGCAAGGATGGGCACTTGCTATTACCTGCAGGAAAAGTTTTCTGAAGCTTCTTCTGCATACAAAAAGGCTCTTGAGCTGCAGCCGGACAACGTTTCGTATGCTCAGAACGTTCGCATGTCCGAGAATAGGATCCCCAAGGTAGCCTCCACCTTTAAAATTCTTAACTCCGATTTATCAAAAGTTTATAATAATAGTTTTCTGTATGATCTGTATTCTTTGCTGTTAATCATTTTGATTCTTGAATAGCCCGCGACGAGTTCCTCGGGGGATCTCAGAAATTTACTTGGCGGTATCGAGCAGCTTGGTTACTTCTACGAATAGCGATTTTATTAAAATTTTTTTTAAATATTACTTAGTGGAATATTGAATAGTAGAGCATATTTAACTTTTTTCTTTTTGGAAAAAAAATAATCTAGTCTATAAGGAATTTTAAGTTTATTTAACAGTCTATATATTAAATTCTTTTTAATTTATTATCTTAATTTATAAAATTTTGTTTATATATTATTTTTAAAAGTATATATGATACTTAAATTGAATATAATATTTTTTTTCATTTTTTATAATGATTCATTATAAATTATTTATAGCGGGAGAAGTCGGCGGTTTAGGCGGAGCTAATTTTAATATTGAAAACATCATGAGCAATCCCGCCTTCCAGTCTGCTGCTCGGCGAATGCTTGAGTCTGGCCAGCTGGACCAGCTCATGAATAACCCCAATCTTGTAAATCTTTTTTAAATTTTTTTTTAATAAATAAATTTTTGGGTTAAAATTTTATTTCTTTAAATAAATTCCTTTACAACTTTTTTTGTAATTATTAATTTAATTTATTTCTGTATTTGTTAACCGAAAACCAAAATTTTTTAGTAGTGATAATTTTTTTTTGGTATGAAAAAAATAGTAAATAGTTTGGTTTGTTTTATTTTTTTAAAGCAATTTTTTTTTAAAAGTTGATAGACTTTTACTACCGATTTTTTTATAATTGTGTAACAAAATTTTATTTATAGTTATAAAAATTGAATTTTTATTAGCAATTTTGATGAGTACATTAAAATTTAAATTAAAATAATTTTTTGAATTTTATATAATTATTTTTTTTAGCATAAAAATATATATATGTAAATATTTTATGGGTATAAAGTATTATACACGTTTATTTAATTTGCTTTGTTTGTGTTTACTTCTTGACATTAATTTGAGGATCTGGAATCTTTAATTTGCGTTGTTTCAGTTATGTTTATTTTTATTTTAGTAATTTTATATTAAAATAATTTATTTTATTGTTTATTATAATATTTGTATGGCAGAAAATTAAAATTTATACAATGAAGTTTTATTTTTAGTGCTTTCGTGAAATATTTGTATATTTTGTTTAATTTATATTAATAATTAATTTTGCTTATGCAAAACATAATTATCATTTACATATATTAGGCTGCCATGCTTTCGAGATTAGGAGGCCCGCACCACTCCCAGCAAGAGTTACAAATCCCTTGACTTTTCTATTGATTCTTTATTTCATATTTGCAATAATATTTTTCCGCTGGCTCGTCCAATTTTTATTAGTTTTTTTTTTCCAGTTGCTAATTTTTTTATAAATATATTTATTATTTTATTATAACACACAAAAATTTACCAAAGTTTTTATAAACTAAAAAAAGTAATATTTATATATTTTTGTGTAAATTTTTCGATGTTAAATCTTTGTCGTTTTAGTTATAGATAACTATTTTATAACTTTTAATAATATTATTATTGTTTTGAATATTTTATTAACAATCTGTTTATAGTTTATTTTACCTCGAATTTATTTAAATTTTTTTGGTAAAATTCTTTTTTTATAGGCATTAGGTTATAGTTAATTTCTAAGTATTATTTTAGATAATTTTTTGTAAGTTTATTTCTATTTTGGTGATATTGTTATTTTTAAAAATAAAGTTATCAGTAAGTTTTGTGCTATTTATTACTTTTGCTTATGAAAATTCTTGTTAAAAAAAATATAAATTGTTGTAAAAAATAAATTTATTGTGTTGAATGAATTTAAAACGTCCCTCAATTCTTCTTTTATTTAACCAAAAATAGATAAAATTTATGTTTATAAAGAAATTAATTAATTCAATAACTTTTGTATTATGCAGCACCTCCGGCTCTACTGAGAATCATAACAACTCTCTTGAATAATTTTTATTGTCGAATTTAACTTTGTAAAAGCTCTTATGCTAATAAATTTTTGACAATATTTTAACTTGTTTGTGGGATTCATAATTTTTTTAGAAAACGAAATTGTTATACAGAAAGTAGTTAGTTATGATCTATTTCTTATGTTAATATTATCCATCTCTTTTTTGAATTCGCATAAGTAGTTTACATTATTAATTTCATAAATACTATAGATTATTATAAATTTGACTACTTGAAAAGTTTTAAAATTTTTGGAAATATTTATATGTACAATTAACTAATAAAAGTTTATATTCTGTATACTTTATAAACTTCGTTAGTTTGCTCGCTATACTTCATAGGAGGACCTTTCAAACTTAAAGAAAGAATTTTTCTAAAAAAATCTAGAGTAAAAATTATATTAAGCGCAGGCCTACTTTTTTTTAGCGCAGTAAAGCCATTCGATCCACCGAAAATTGAAATTGATAAAGTCGTTATAAATTTTATTCAACCCATCTTTATCAACACTTTGTTTATAATACGGCGTGTTCTCAGAGTATGGGATTCGCTTAAGCATTTTATAATACTTCAGGGTTGGCACTTTCATCAACAAAGTTTTAAATTATTGTTTTTTTTTTATATTAATTTCAACGTTATAAAACTAACTGTTAACATTTTTTTCAGGAGACTAACCTCTCTAATCAAAATTAAGTTACAAGCTTTTGTTTTTACTAAGCTAAATTTAATTCTCGGCATTGTTAATTCTTTTCCTTTTTATATTGTTATAAACTTATTTTAATATAAGTGCTTAGCTGAAGGTATCTCTGTATCGGGTGGAGTATTATGTTGCTTTTTTCTACTTTGTGGGTTTAGCGCAAATTAATAAGTGAAAAACTACCGTTGATCAACGGTTCGCAGATTTAGTTCTAGTCTTTCGGTATGAAATTCTTAAAGAATTTAATTTACATAACAAAGATTTTCCTATCTTAACAGACGCATCTACAAGCCTGACTAAACGGTGCAGACACTTTCGGAATTAAAAACTATTTAAAAAAAAAATAGTCAATTTTCTTATCCACTTGTCACTGGCAAGAGTTGAGGATGCAATACTTACTACCTTATTTTAACGGGTTAGCAACCCTTTTCACTGGTTTTCTCTGCTTAATATAAACGTAAATTTTCACACCTTTCGGTAGGTCTGCCCTTAATCCCAAGTATTTTAAAACTATTCCCCTATTAATACGGAAGAGCAATGTAGCAACAGGCTTTGCGATCATAAAAGTTGTGGTGAAGAGTGATCAACTTTACCTCTTTCGCAGAAAAAGTGAATGATAATTACATCTATTCTTACAGAACGTGGAAAAAAATGATAAAGACGCATTAAAGTAACGGCCGCTGCGATCGTTAAAATGTAATAGACCCCTCGCAGTACTAAATTAAAAATTGAAAGATTTTTTTATTCGAATTCGGTTTAAAACGTTTATAACACTCTTTTGCTTTTTGTCCACTTCAGTTAGGTCTGTATAGTTTTGTTCGGCGCTCTGAGTAAGTAGATTATGAAACAATTGGAGCCCCGTCAACGGCTCGTTTACTGCTTTCTGGCCTTCAATATAAGTCCATGGGCACGTACAGTAGTGCGCATTTTGAAAAACAAAATAAGAGCTTTCAAAAATTTGTTCAGAGGCTTCTTGGCTAATGTTAACTTTCGCTTTATTTTTCCACATATCGCTAGATTCAGTAAGTGTCCAAACTTTATTGCTATCAAAACTGAAATTTCCAAGACTTCTGTTACAAAACTGACAAAATAACATCCAAGTTGACATCAGGCTATTAAATTTAAATTTCCAGCCATATAAACTGAAGAAGACACAATGCTTTATAAACTTAGAATTTTTTAATTGTGGGTCATCAGGTAAATTTTGTAAGAAAAAATTCCAATCAAGATTATTTCTTTCATACCAAGTATGTACTGTATCTATAAACGCCTCTGGAAGGCTCAAGGCCACCAAAAAAGTTTCAAGTGAAATATTAAATAACTTAATTTTATTATAGTTTTCAGTAACACAATCAATGAAATACGTTAAAGCATTCTTTGGTGAAAACAGGAAAGGAAGTAACAGTTTCTCAGAGCAATAGAATTTTTTCCAAGGACAATGTTCGGCATGATTCTCAGTGAGAGAGCATACATAACGACTTAAAACCCTATTATAAACTTTCAAAATATAGAATATTAAAAATGCAATTCCTTTATTATTTACAAATCCAAGTTTATATATATATATATGATAATATAGTATAAGCTACATATACGAATCAATACCAGCGGAAGTTTGTGTAGAATCTGAAAACCCACAATAGAAAGAGCTTAAGCAAATGTCACAGTACAAGACATTCCTCCCCTTATTACGCCATCCTCTCTGTGAAACTTTAAGTGGTGAGAGGATATAAGGAAACCCTAACGAAAGATGTTTAATAATAAATAAAAAAGCGATCTTATAAATAACCTGCCCAAGTCGAACGCCTAAACGAGTTTAATCGGTAATACCAATATTCAATACTCAGGAGCTCCAAAATTATATCCTTCTGGTCGAGATTAAGATTATATAAAGAACCTTCTTTAGTAGTAATATTGTAGTACTTATCTAAAAAGTTATTAATTTTTGATATTATATAAAGCGTCTCGTCATCAACTCTTCCCATATCTTCTAAGCTGATATTATAACCCTAGTTAACTGAAGAGCAGAAGTTTAAATAACATGCTCATACTTTCGCGTTTAAAAACATTTTATAAATCTTTTAGTAATAACCTTGAAAGCGAATATAAAGCAGAAAAATTATAGACGCACCTGGTGTGAACATCAAACAAATTTGGGTTTAATTTTTTAAACAAATTAGTTAATAAAGCGGTACGTTAAAATTAAAGGACCCAATTTAGTTATATATGGTTTTATTTGGTAGAATACCATATTGTTACAAATAATATAAAATTGGAGTATAAAAGGGCTTCAAGAGCGGGGCACGGCCTTTCTCGTTTCGCCTGCTTTTGCTCCTCCCTGTGCCTGCGTTTCTCGACGGGTGTACGCTGCCGTGGTTGTCGTAGCCTCCTTGTCCGGTTTTCTGTTATAAGTATAAAGATTCATTTGACTTCGCTAGCACTCACCAAGAAGTCTTTTGCGGCACACTTATTTTTAGCTCTTTTTGCTTTCTGCTTTTTGCCCGTTCATGGCAAGAATAATCAAGTCTTTTCAGGGCTTTTGGTAAATTGCTTTTTTAGCTTTTTTGGCAATATTGTTTGCTCGGGTCGCGCGCCGCGCTCGTGTTTTCGCCTGTCAGCTATGCACGTTGTGCGCTTTAGCTGCGCGGAGTTTTAAAAATTAGCTCTGACACACGCACTGCTTTACTCGTGATGCGCACGGCCACTTTTTAGCTTGTCGCGCGGAGTAAACTATACTTGTTGCGGTTTACTAACTTTCTAATTTGGACTGAGCGTTTGTTTGAATCCAGGTTTCGACCGAAGCCATTAAACGAAAGCAACAGAGCACCACCCCGTCCGTGCCGGGCTAACCTTCACGTGCAGTCGTTTTCGTCCCCCTTGGGCTCAATAATTTTGTAATTCATAGCGGCCTTTAGCTCTTTTCTTGTGCCATAATATTGCAAAAGCTTGCATATTTTAGTTACTGAGGATTTTTAATTGAAGTTATCGCTTCGAATTATCAGCGAAACGCATTATGAGGCATAATTTTATTTGAAGAAGTGTCTATATATAAATATATATACTAATTTTTTTTTTACGCCTACGCTTGAAGACTGCTTTTTGGTAACTCCTTTATAGCCCTTTAACTCTTTTGCTTGTCAAGCTGAATAGGAAGGCACCCCTTTGGCGTCTGGGATTTACTAGCATGCTTTTATGTCTTTTGTTTATCATTTCTTATAGATACTCGCGTGTAAAGGGAGAGTATTGTTGAAGTGACGTTTGTTTGCCGCAACGTGTTTCAGGTCTTTTTTAGTTTATTTTGTTTATATCGAAGTAGCTACGCTAACAAATATAATTCTTTATTATTACGGATTAGTACACTGGAATTTGGGTTTGCTAGCGAAATATTGAAGGTTAGCACTTCCGGAGTAAAGACGAGAATTCATGCGCTTGATGGAACTGAAGCTGCAGCTTCCTCGTCAGAGTCAAGCACGCCCGCCTCTCAGCGAAGACACCATAACTTTTTCGATACTGTGTTCTGCTACGGGATAATAAAAACTGTTATCATTTCCTTTTGAAGTTAAGTTTACTTGTGGGATCTCCTGCTCGCTCGCCTCAGGGATTGAACCCCACAGCAGTGGACGCATCCCTTTAATGAGAGTCAGTTAAGTTGATGGTTCGTAGGAGATAAAAAGTATCAATAAACAGTCTAAATATGAAACTTCAAATATAAATTGAGTACGGAAAAGTTGAGCGGATAACGTTTAGAGAGTTGCTATAGAAGCAAGCTAAGCGCGTTATGTACCTGTAGAGTCCCTCCTTTCCTGAACTACTATGCCTTCGTTGTGAAACATCCTCAACCCTTTTGGTCAGCTTGGCGGTCGGCAAGGAGAAAGAACAGTGAGACTTACCAGTAGTGGCCATTGTGGCATGAGCTCAGGCAGGTGGAGCACGGCTCGGTCACGTGGTAGCCTACAACGTTCCCGCTAATTTCCGTAGTCCTGTTAAGGGCTTTAATAGAAATGCATATTATTACCACGTGAGGCAGGCTATATCCCGTATTCTGCAAAGACAATTTTTTGTGGTGTACTCCTTATTTATAGAAGGAATAGCTAAAGAGTGCTTTACCTATACTTGAAAGAGAAAAACCTTGTTAACTAGTTGAACTGCCGTTGTCGGCGCCAGATCGGTTGAATATAACTCTACCGATATGTCGCCTTTGCGTTTTAAGAACGATTATTTTTACGAGTAACGATAATAGGCTAAACCTAACAAAACGGCCTTCATTCCCCTTTTGCATATATCTGCTTGACAATACTTGCAGGAGAGACGCGTCACAGTTTTAGTCCTAAAATGCTGTAAACGCATAGTAAAAGTTATACTTTTGTTTTAAGGATGATTTGCTAGAGGCCGAGTTCGAGTCTACGTTTAAATCGTAAATACTTTTTATTGTTATGGCAATGATTTTCTCTTATATAATTTCTTGTATCTATTTAGAATATCAAATCGTTTACTGCAAGAGCAGGTAACTAACCTAACTCATAAAGTACTTTAAATCTTAAGAATTAAAAGCAGTGGGAACAACACTTGCTTGCATATTTTATAAAGCCGCGTGATGAGAGAGCGTTTACGAGGGTTACCCATTTTAACTAATTTGTATAGTCCTAACAACAAGGTTAACCACCTATTTTTGCCCACCCTTTTTCACAAAGGGCAAGAAGGGTAAATTTGTTTTGTATATATAATAACAATGTATCACCTGACTAAGATTGGGCTGGTTACTTTGGAGAAGCCACTGTCTAGGCATGTTTATAATAAGTTGCAGTCAGTACGGGTCCTAAGTATAATACAAATCATATAGCTGTTAATTCAAATTTCTTATTGTTTAGCATTTAATTATAAAAGTTCGACAGTTGCACTATTATACGCTTTTTAAAATATATTTTAAATTAAGATATACGAATTTTTGGTACCATTACCATAAGCTATTCTGAGAGAGATATAATAATTAACAAACCCAGACCTTAGAGTTAATAGTTACTTTTCTCTTGTGCTGCCAAGGTTTTGAAGTAAAACTGCAAATATGTTTTCTGTAAATATATTTTTTAAATATTATACATGTTTAAGAGAAAATACTTAAATAAATGATATACCAATTGAAGACCTCTTGATCTAAGTAAAGTTTTATACTTAAGCTAGAAACTAATACTGAGTGATAACTGCTGTCACTCGTGATTTGGTAAGTGGGCAATAATAATATTCGTTAAACAATATGTTGCCTAAAAAGCTATATTTTTATTCGCTAACACAAATTTAGAAACGATTTTTTTTAAAAACCCATAAATGTTTTTCATAAGAGCAAAGAAATTGAAACATTTAGAATTAATAATTGTGTATATATTTGTTAATAATATAGCAATATTAAATAGTGTCACACTATTAGCATTTACGCGTAAAAAAGTGCATCTCCTTTAAGGAAGTTACTTGATAGGTAAGATGAGGAAATGTTGTTAAAAGTGGTTAGTATATTAGATCATAATGCACAATTAAATTAAGAACTAAACTGTCATAATTAAAGAAGAAATTAGGACGTCTATTACTCGCTTATTAGAGTTACTAAACTCTCCACCTCAACTAGTTAACCCATTTTATAAGTATATAAGAAACTCTTTTCTTGAAACCAACTTTTCGGTCTTATGCTTGTTATCATCGCGTAGCTCTACGAATTTTTATTTGTTGATATAAATTAAATTATGATTAGCTATTTTAACAACAGCCTAGTAGATAAAAAGGAGAATTAAAGCTAAAAATATGTCTGTGAGGTGCCACTGTCAAGCTAGTAATGTTATATATATGAATGGTATACCAATAGTGTAGCTCTTAACGATTCAATTATGACGAATCGTGAGTAATTAAATCTGTATTATTGTGAAATAAATTACTTATTAGTGGCTAACATAGACAACGGAATTTGATGGTTATTACTTCGTTCTGTTCCTTTACTTGATGACTCGATATGATGAGTTAGGAGGAAAAATAGAAAGCGTTTGAGTCTTAATACTTGAAAACCTTGCATAGCTTTTTCACCAATAAATATTCAACTTTATTTAAAATTATTATAAAAATGCTTAAATGACCTTAAAGACAGGGAATACAATAACTATCACATTATTTTAAAAAGTCAAGATTTTTAATATAAGATTTGACCATACCATCACTAAAATATTTCTGTACTGATTATTTCATTATCATAATAATGCCTTAAACGAAGCCAATCTAAATGGAGGACTAAAACCGATGTGTAACCAAGTGTAGCATTAGTATAAATATGAGCGCCGATAATTTAATCTTATTTTTTGTTTCTCTCTTTTTAAATTTTTTAGGTACTACAGAAGCTTCATAAAAAAGTTAAGTACGAAATATTTAGTAAAGTGGAAGAAAATTTTTATAATATATTATCGCCCGCATTTGTAAAACTTATATCATATATATGTTGAGCTTAAATACCGTAGAAAACTGCACACTCTGAGGTTTATTTACGCCAATTCGACTTAACATTTTTTATTAATACCTTAAAAAGAAGTAACGGTTTTGCGTTGAGTATAACATGTTACCCTTCCTGCTATTTAATAGTTAAAACACTTAACTGTTTATACTTAGTTAAACCTTCTTTAAAATTTAAAAGTTTTCGGATTGAAAGCACCGTTTTTGTGACTACTTTAGTAAGTTCCCAGCTACAACTAAAAAGTCGTTTATGCTGGAGCTGAAAAAAGGTTGGCAATTTTAACAATAGAGACTTCATAACAAATAAGCGTGGGCTGGGCGATTAGTACAATATACATAAAAAAGGCAGCCCATTAAAATAAACTATCCCCTAGTATAAACTAAGTAACAACGACCTCCGAGAAATTTTTTTATCTGCAAGCGATGTGTTCCGTGCTTATTTATGGCTTAGACTCCCAAGTGTTTTAATACATAAATAGTTTTACTCCATTCTCACTCAAGCTATTTTTTTTATTGTTCACTGACTCTGTGTAGGCTAGGAGTTTGGCTGTCCAGCAGGACTCTTCTGATTTAGTTCGTTTCTTTTTAGGAACTCTTAACTTAAAACAAGAAAACAAGGCCTTTAAGTTTTTATAATTTCTTTTCTCCCCTTATAGTAGTAAAATTAGATTTATTTGCTTGAATACGACGAGGAGCTCTCACAAATTAATAGCTTGTCTTTTGAACATCCAGTTGGCGAAATATGGAACATAGAGACGAGTTTTTCTTCCGGACAGTATTTATCAACCTGTTATTCTGATGGTTAATTTTCTATAATACCTTATATTCTATAGAAATGGGTTTTACTTTTTTTGAAATCTAATTATTTAAAAAGGATTGATGAAGTATCGACGAGCTGCACGCATTTGGAGAGCCAATATCCCTGAAAAGAAACTAAAAGATGTTGATGCTTGCGAAGTTGGTAACTTAGAAGCTCTTTTTGATATTTCTCCTCAAGAACAATCTATTAAAAAGTATTTATGATTTTTCACCACATTCATATTGTTAATAACTTTTTGTAAAAGTTTGCTTTGGAACCCGTTAGGAGACACCACGTTTTTATCAGTTGGCGAAAAGAATGTTAATATGCATGACTTGACTACTTTACAGTCAATTCTGACGGTAAACTAAATATTATCCTTATAACTTTTATTCTGTCTTATATTCTTGAACTTTTGGTAAGTTTTAAATAGGTGGAGCCTTCTGTTTCAAAAGAACCTTTATTTTCCGGAAGATGGTCTCCTCACCACTTCGCAAGTGAGTGCTTTGGGGTAAACTAAGCACTTGTGCTTAAGAGGCTTACCGTTATTTACCCTACGTTTGTCTAAAATGGTTAATTTGCCTCTTGTGCACTAAATATATGGAACTGCGTTATTTATTAGTTACCCGTTATTAAAGTGATTAAAACTTTTTGGAAATGGTTTAACACGTACGAATTTTGCTAAACAAAAAAAATATTATAATTTACACTGCTTATTTGAATTGCTGGAAAGTGAAAGCGTGAAAGATCACGTGGGCGTGCTTACACTTTTAGTCACATTTTCTTTTATACAAGCACTATTTGCTGCCACCCAAGCCACGTCTGTTCTCTGCTGGGATTCACGCTCTTCCAGGTATCACGCCTTGCTAGGCCCTCCTCACTGTCTGCAATAACAATAAAGCAGTCAAGTATTTTGTATAGCCGACGCACATATGCAGGCTGTGCGGACGGTGGACTTCAATCCCAATAAGCCATATAGCCTCGTATGATTGCTACGAAATATTTCAGGGCGGCGCGCGCTGGAGCTCATTTTTTCATAAGGCAACAGGCGGAGACGACGGCTGTATCAAGTTTTGGGACACGCGCAGCTGTAACGAACCGCTGAAGATCCTCGAGCAGCACACTCACTGGTCTAAAGCTCGCTATGTTTGTTTTGTTTAGGTGGTTCGTAAGCCTTTTCATATTTTTCAAGGGTGTGGAGCGTTCGGTACAATCACTTTCACGACCAACTCTTGCTTAGTAGTGGTAGTGACAGCAAAGTATGGTTGTATTTACCTATTACAGTAAAGTTATAAAACCTTATGCTATTGAGGTTTGCCTACACAACGTTACCTCACTCTCGAGTGATCTATTTAGCCACGTCGAGTCTTCTGAAAGCGGCGAGGATGCTCTTCAGTAAGTATTGAGCTCTACTTTAAGAGACTTGATGCTAGTATTTTCTTCCACAGATGCACAAGAAAGGAACTTTTTGAAGATAGAATCATAAAAGTTTACGAAGATCACGAAGACAGCGTCTACGCTACGGAGTGGAGGTCCTTGCGCGCTTATTTTATATTTTGCTTGTAGTTAGAAAAACCATTAATCAGTTCTGCTGATCCCTGGGTTTTTGCGTCACTTTCTTTTGACGGCCGGTTTGTTGTCAATCATGTGCCAAGCGAAGTGAAGTATAAAATTTTATTATAATTGCTCGAAAAGTGGAATAAAGAATTTGGCTTATGTTTTATTAATTCTTCGTAGTGGTTAATCAATTTATTAATTTAATGCTGGGCTACTAAAGATCCAAGCAACTAAGAATCTCTATTAAATAAAATGTTAATGATAAACCCGTGTACTATGTCAAAGCATCATACATACTTTTAATCAAAATATTTGTACGTATAATCCCTTGCATGGAGACTTATTTGGTTTTTTTTCGATCTGTACTTATACCTTTTACCAAAAAATAAATCGATATAAAAAACCGTTCTTATCTTTCTGTAAAAAAAATTTGTTAATGCTGTGTCATAAAGTTCAGAGAAGGTCCGCACTTGTTATAGTATATACTAGGAAACAACACTGTAGTATAGTTCGAAAAACACACTAATATAATGGTGCTATCTCTCAGTATACTGGTAATATAAAAACGCCTATAAAGTTTTAAGTTAAAATTTAACTTTTATATCTTAAAAAGCGACTCTTTCCGATTAACACGTGACCGCAACCACCAAAAAGTAACGGGTTTGACTATAAAATTTTATAGATCTAAAACTTTAAAAAGGGGACTTTTAAGTTACCATTACAGAATAGGAAGATTTAAGAAATAGTTATTTAAAGATTATTATATACCTATAACATCACGCTTTGAAGGCAGCTTAAGTGTTTAAAGAAGATTATAAGACAGTCTAATAAAACTCATCTCTTTTTATTACTGTAACTTGGTAGAGCGCTATAGATTAAGTGTAAGATCTACGTGATAGAGGTAGTCCACTGACCTTTAGTAAACAATATATCCGTTATCTTAAGGGGGAAATTTTCCTATTTTGGTTTTTTTAAAATTTTTTTAAAAAAAAAACATTTGTTTTTATTGATTAGAATTCTTATCGGTATTAGCTAACAGTTAGATTATTTTAAGAGAAAGTTTTTGCGTCCATTGTATCATAAGTTTCGGCCGGATTTAGTGTAATTTTATGTCATGGAAAATTTTATTACAGTAGTTGTTTCTTATACTACCTTATAACCAGTATCCCACGACCTGCCATTGGAAAAGGACTCGAGAACTAACATAATAGTAGTCCTGCTTTCCGCTGACAACGCCTTAATTTGCTTTCTTGTACCAGGCATAAAGTTTTTTTACACGTTCCCTATTGCTCTTCGGGAAAGTCTAAGTAAGTTTTCAACTTCGCTTTGTAAACATATACATATCTACTGTACAGAAGTCCCAATGATATAAAAGTCCTTTTTTCCCGCGTGCATAAAACAAATAGTTGTTTTACGTGTATCAATTATTAATTTAAAAGATGAAATGAAAAGTGTTTGATGAAAACCCTTAAGAACATTCGTATTACGAAATTATCATAACTTCCGCTTGACATTTCTCTTTTTTTCTTTTTGTCGTTTTTGGGTGGTGCGCACTGTAGCTGTGTCCTCCAAGCAACTCCAAGTCATCAAATAAATTATACCAGTTGATTAATGTTTCAACCTAATAATATACACCTTTATTCGACTGTAATATAAAGTTCTCTTAACCAAGTTTGTAAAGCGAACTTTATTAAAAAATGAAATATGGAAATATAACTAATATTATTACTATTCTCAACTGTGAAAGAAGTTTTTTTAATTAAATAATACATAAAGCTAAATAATTCTAACAAATTAACGTTTAAATGGAGGGTACTAAAAATAAAAGGTGTTACCTTATCTAGGATTATACGCAAAAATAAAATCTAAAAAGATTATATAAATACCCCCGTGTTACGCCTTTATATATGTACGCTACCGTTCAAAGTTGTTTCAATTTTTTTTCATTTTTTTAGTCAATATAGAATAACTTTTAAATAAAGTAATGGATTACTTTAATTTTTATTACAGTAAACTTCTATTTTCGAGCTACATTCTGTTGAAACGATCTTAAATTGGTTTAATATTCGAAAAGATAAGAGCTTGTAAAGTTGTAAGATAGTAGAAACAATTTAGCACGTAGCAGTAATATAATTTAATATATGAGGTTTTAATAATTAGCATAGCCCCCTTTTGTCAGAATCGCTGCTTGTGTCCCTTTGGCATACTGGCAATCAAATTGTGTAGCCTTGACCCCGTGTTATATTCACCCATTCTGTTGGTGCACGTGTTCAAAGCTCGTCCCAGTTAGCAAGAGCTGATTCGTATGATCCAATTTTCGCTTCAAGATGCCCCAAGCATGCCTAATGGGATTGAGATAAGAAGATTGCGGAGGCTAGCCCAGCGCTTAAAACGACTGAATTGGAGCCAGGATTGTACCAATAGTGCAGTGTGACATGGAGCATTATCCTGTCAAAAAACCATTTCACCAAGACTAAGGTCATACCTATCGCATGTTCTGGGTAGGTCATTCTTAATAATGTCTAAATACGTGCTTGCGGTGATGCCCCCTGTCACTTTTTCCAAATATATTCGTCCCCCTTAGGTGTTATATCGGACCAAATCATAATCGATCCTCCCCCATGTTTATACGCTTGCACTACCTTGTGATCAAGTATTCTATTATCGCCGGATCGCTCCCAACACCACCTAATACCGTCTGGACCAATCGATCGATCTGGTCTCATCCGAAAAAATTACTTTTTCTCTGTCGGGAATGAACCAATTTTCGTACTTCTTCGCAAACTCAAATTTTAGTCACTTGTGACGGTCTTTCAAAGTGGTTTTAACAATTTATTTTTGGTATGGAGACCAGCGGAATGTAATGCCCTCGACCTAATGTTGTTTCTATGATTTTTGAAGCTTTCTCTGCCGATTCAGTTGCACCCAATGTCACTTGTTCGTAGAAGTCAAACTACATCCCGGTTTTTCAAGACCTTTGGACGCCCCGGTTCATTGCAAGGACGATTTGGATCATATTGAGCTCTGATCCGAGATATTTTGGTCTTCCTGACACAACATCCCCGAGCGATCTCAGCATAAGGCTTGCTTGATCTAAAAGACATTTTTACATCATTTTCTTTATCAATTGAAAGTTTACCCACTATTAAATTAAGATCTTTAATTAAGATCTCCTTTTTGGTCACTCAAATGCTTTAAATAAACCCCTATGATGTAGTAGTCATAAAATTTCGTATAAAGATTGAAACATTTTTGCAAGCTGTGGGGTCACGTGCAAAACCTTTTTAGCCGTTACCTACACTTAACAAAACGATAAAGACTTAAGTAAGAAAACAGTTCCTCTAATACAAACTACACTGAATAGATCTCATTCTAAACTTATATGTATATAAGGTATCAATATAACCAATTATTAATTAAAATTTTATAGAATTCTTACGAAAAAATTCAAAACATGGAAACAATTATGAACTATAGTGTCTATGTCTAAGGTTTAAATATTTTTAAAGGGATGTAATAGTAATAAAATTCAATAGAAAAAATAGTAAAATTTCGGCAAAAGATTTACAAAGTGAAAAGTGCAACCCTTTCTCATTTTAATGTTGCTTATAAGACATTTATATGTTGATTGCAATACAAATTATGACTTAAATTAACGGATACAATTTTGTAATAAATTGCAAGTCATTTCGGAAAATTTATGGCGCCCCAATTTCAGCTCTTCGAATGCCTACATGGAATGCTTTTTCAACTTCCCGAAAAAAAGCTATTAATTAGTATGCTTACAAATAAATTTGTACTTCAAACACTGAGTATCTCTCTAATTTCCTGCTTTAAATCCAAAAAACAACTTTTTATTCCTTTTATATAACTAATTAGTTGAAGTCCTTATAAACTTTGTTATATGGTGAAGGCATATTTATTTACGCTTGTGGAATAAATCTCACATCACGCTGCAGAGCGTGGGTGCTTTTAGACGAATATTTTTCTCTTGCATTTATTATACGACTTGTACGATTCAGCTTTAAGCGCAGACGCCCGGCAACTCCCCACGCTAATCGTCTATATTGTAAATATATAACGGTTTACTCGTCGCCAGGGTTAAAGTTATAAGTTTTTCTAACAATGGCGGCTAGTTTTTCGCGCTCGCGCGTTCAACTTAACACGGAGAAGAGCCAAATACCTTTTTACTAGGAGAAAGCACACTGTTGTTGCCCTTTGCCGGAGTGGGAGCAACCCCAGACAAAGAATCTTAGGGCCAGTATTAACAGTCAATTGGTGTGGGAGGCGGTCGCACCTGGAAAAGGTGATGACGAAGTTCAAGGCGATACTTAAGCATTGTACCTACTTTGCAATAAGAGCGCAGTTTCTACTTGTTCCTTGAATCCAGTCAGCCATGACCTACGAAGCTGCCACCTGGTTTCGCCAGTAATGGCAAGAACTAGATGCTGAGTCCATGACAACGCGCTGTGTTTTTGTTCGGACGATGCTTTACCTCGATCATGTTATGAAGAAGTTTGTAAAATAGGGACAAACTTCTTATAAAAATAACAATAAAAACATATTTACTCCTTTTTACTAAGTAGGTGATGGATAAAGTGGTTTTTGCATTTAAAAGTAAGCACTAACAAGTTAGAAATGTAACTTATTTTATAGATTAAAAACCCTATCCCTTTCCGTATAGTATAAACTATGGCGCCATTATAGGGTAGCGAAGATTAATGAGAACAGTTTTTAGTAGTAACTCGTTACTCCCCAAATAAATATATAAATGAGCACTAAAACACTCTCTCCACGCTTACCCAACATAAACGACCCCATAAAAATTACTTGAGACCTTAACAAAAAGTTATTTATACTCCTTAACTAAAGCCCATGTTACAAAACATCTCATACATTCGTAAATCTCTTGTGAACTTAAAAATATGCAAAAGTGTGAAAAAGCAGTAGCCGTAAATACAGCATTCTAAGTAAAAATAGTTTTTTAAAGGTCCTATTATAAAAATTTGTATTTTTGGCTTGGTCAAATGTAGGTTTAAACAATCAACCGTTCAATAACTTGGACTATCTTTATAAATAAATAAGTATTAGATTATGCATTTCTGGTGTATATTCTAAAAAATAACCATATTTTTTTATTTAAATACAGTTTGGTATAGTTTTGATTATATCATATAAGGGTGTATATGTGGTAGCCATGTTTTATAATAGTCCGTGGGATTAAGATTTTTAAAATAAAAGTTAATATTAAAAAAATATAAAAAACCCATAAATAAATAGATAATTATGTCTAGAATTTATTATGTAATGTCTGTGATAAAATGATGCCATTTCAACCGGAAAGTAACTTTTGAAAAATTTTGCAAACTTCAGAAATGGGGGGACGAGCGTCAACATCTTTGTCCCAACAAAGTCTTATAAGTTTATTTATGTGTGACGGGGTGTCGGCCTCAATTTTCGGGCGAATGTCCGAATTTAGCACCTGACAGGAATATATTTTGTTGTAATTGAGCAGAAATGGGAGGCTGAGTCGTTGGAGGAAACAAACCATTGTCCCAATAACTAAGGCAGGCAAGCCCTGGAAGGGCTCCGCGGGGCTAAACAAACGATTCAGAATAACGCCGAAGCTGTATACGTCTGCGGAGCTGTCCTGCACTCCCATTTGCTTCAGCACTGTTCCCGCCAAATAATTGGTTTATATTGAAAAAATGCACCAAACACACACCAACGGACCCTCGGGAGCCACGTAGGCCGGTTCATGGGTAATAGGGAAGAAAGCCGTATTGAAGGTGAAGCCAGCAGAAGCAACGTTCAGTAGAACATTAAACTTTGAATCGACCTACGTTATTTAATGCTTTCTCATGCGACCGCATTGAGAAAAGCCGCAGAAGGCCTCACCAAACACATCTTGAGGTTTAGCCGGAGGTAAGGAAGAGGGTCCTCGAGGCTATGGAGGTACTGCAAGCCCTTCGCAATGCCGTGCGCCATGCGGTACTTCTGCTCGACCTCGTTGGGGTTAGCTAATGAGCGCAGTGCAGGGAGGGAAACGCGAAACGGAATATACTTTAAGGTGGAGCTGCGAGTCGGCGAGAACTTCCTCGAGACTTCCGCGGGGAATATGCTGCGACACTTACAAGAAAGCTCGACTCGCTAAACTTCGTCGATCAGTTCCGTATCAAGAATACTAACCAATGCTCCAGCCGCCCTCCAAGCGAATCACTCCGACTATCGAGAGCACGGAATTTACTGGATCCTCCATCTTCCTAAAATTCCGATAGAAAAGAATCCACGTCAAATAATGAGTAAAAATAAAATTAATCTTTTATGCAGATATGTTAACAAGTTATAGACAACAAAATATTATAAATTCTATAAGTATACACTAAATTGTAAATCTTTTAAAATTATTTACTAAATTTAAAAATGTAAACTATAATAGTTTTATGACTACAACTATCTACAATAATCTTGTTATATAAAAGATTTCAAAAAGAACAAAATAATCTGCATACAAATTAATTCGTTGGTTATAAATAAGCTTAATTTAAATTTAGATTATAGTAAAAAAAATAACGAACATAACCATAAACGGCCGGCTTCCTGCAGCCAATCGTTGATGACTTTTTCGCTCATCTTTTCCGACCATCTCAAACGGCGTACAGCCACTTTTCTTTCCTTCCAAATGCCTGTAAAAGTATCGCTGTAAGTCCCCTTAGAAATACGATCCTTTATTTTAACGGCTCCTGGAGGGATCTCAAGCTTTACAAACTTGTAAGAAACTGTATATATGGAATAGTAAATTTAAATTAAAAATTGAAAAGTTTACTTTAACTTTAGCCTTTGTTAATTAATTAAAATTACTGAGTTCGCGTCCATGATGGTGTTCATCTTTGTAGGGGACAACCTCCAGTCCTGTATTAAAGCTCTTTGCTAGTTCTTAAGTGAAAATAAGTATGTGAATAAAAAAATTTCTACGGATAAACACCAGTCAACATTTCCTTTTGTTCTCGATCACAAAAATCTAAAGGCTCCTTTCCGTATTTATTAAGCGGTCTTAATTGTGAGCCATGCCGTAGTAAACGCTAAAAGGGGGTTGAAGTATTTATAAAAATATTCTAATAATGTGAACAGGACTTCGGCGATTTCCATATTTCTCCAAAGGCAGGCATAATGAAGGGGAGTATTTCCGTGTTCATTGGTGCAATTTACGTCTAAGTCCCACTCAAGAAGCTAGAAAAAAATTACGCAGTATTAAATAAAGTATAGAAAAGGTAGAACCTTTGTTATGGCCTCTTTTCTTTCAAAAGAAGTAGCTAAGTGAAGAGCAGTGTCACCGGAGTCAGTAGCTTTCCCAACATCAACTCCGCAATCTTTTAGTAACTCTAGTACCGGGACGTGATTGAACTGCGCGGCCCAGTGGAACAACGTAAAACCATGATTATCACTAAATAAGTAATATAAAAACTGTAAATTACATATATAAAAATATTACGTTATTTCTTTTTCGGTACAGTTTTGGAGATAATCTCGTAGAAAAACTACGTCACCTTTTTTAGCTGCACTAATAGCGTCAGTCATTCTTATTATAAAATGTACTTTACTTTATATTTAGTTATGAAGTCACAATTAAGTAAAGCCTGCAAGTATTTTAAATATAGTCGACATTTTTTCCTGTCTTCTCTGTTCGCTGTTCGTTAAACCTCACATTTGCGATCTTTGGGGCTCCCACCGAATGAGCTGCATGTAACTACGCGCAAGTATATTCAACAATATTAGAAAAATAACTTCATATGTGAGAGCGGTATAATTGCCGTACAAAACAAAAAATAATAATGGAAGAGTTAACAAAAGAAAATATTAAATAGCTAAAACAGCTTTTTGAGTAAAACATCATACCCCGTTAATAAGGGGGTCGTAGCGGGCTTGCCCTTTTGACCGTAGTTAAATATCTAACGCCATAATAGTATTAAATCTGCCCTGCTTCCAGGCTAGCTTCCTCGTAATGTAAAATTTATTTGGAATTATATCGGAGCTGTTTTGAAAAAATTATTTTATTTCTTCGAGGAAAGCGTGTACTTTCGGGTGAACTAAGTAATTTAATTGTACGCTAATACTTAAAGAAATAAAAATTTTTCGGGAGCGCGCTGCACTTTACCAATTCGAACAGCACTAGTATACAATTACATTATAATGAATGATATACTTGTTAGCTACAAAAATAATATCGCTGAAGAATAGTAAACAAAGAAAAGTTATTAATTTTTTTCTTTAAAGAACTACATGTTATTGCGTAGAGCTGGTTGTCTTCAATAAGTCAACCCTATTTTCATATTTAGAAACTACTAACCAGTTAACTGCATTACACATTTTTAATAAATCTTATGATCTTTATTACTATTTATTTAATATGTTTAGCACAGAATATTTTGGTTTTTTATTTTTTCTATTGAAAACGTTCTTTTGAATGCAATACAATTAATAGCAACAACTGCAGTCTAAGGTCAACCCTCTTGGAAGGATTATAAGCCCTTCGTGTCTTGCTGTTGTAGCAAAGCCAAGTTTACAAGATAATGTCGAATCACTTCAACTATACCATGGCTGTGGTAATGGCCGCTGGAGGTTTTTGTTTGTTAACTATAGTAGAAATAATAAACTGTAGTAAAAAAAACTTTTATATAAATAAAGGGACCTTCGGCTACTTGAAAAGCCGCTCTTTACCCAGCTTGGTTTCCGGTTTGGGTTTTGGTTTGCTCTATGGAGTGGCAGGGTGAGAGACCCCGTTTATAAGAAACTTTTTGCAACTGTCTTCTAGCTAATATATGTTTTACTTTTCCGCACCAAATAGATACCTTCATGGAGAAGAAGGACACATTATCGCTGCGGGGACAAGTACTTAAATCAATTTTTTTAAACAGTTTTTAAGTATTATCTATAAACTGCTACTAACTAAATTATTATAACAGGCATAGCTGTTCTAGGTTGGGCATGGGCATGAAAACAATTTATTAATATTCATCCTTTTTTTAGTTTATATACATTTCCCTATTGTGTTTTTTCAATAATCTCTTTTAATTACTTATTAAGCCGTTATGGGAAGTCGATTGAGAAAAACAAGAAAGTTTTTCCCTGCAGGTTTTATAACGGGGTGCTCTGCTTTATGCCTTGGATACAATTCTTATAGACTATACGGATATTACTACTAATAAAATCAATTTTTTTTTTGCTTTTTTATTCTTTATTTTAATTCGGACAAAGTTTGATTAGTTCATCACTGACGGCGGAGGGCGTCAGCACGCCGAGATCGGTGAAGAGGAGCTGAATATAACTAGGTGGAGTGAAGTCGAAAAGAGGATTGAAAAACTAAAAGTTAGTAAATAAAGTTAATAAAAGAACCTCATTATAATTATAAAAAGAAATGAGAATCATAATAAGAATATTTGAACTTTAATTAAATTTCAAAAAAAAATTACAAACCAATTCAAAAGTTATTTCGGTCAAAAAAAAATAACAACGTTAACCTTTACCAAATCTTTTGTTGCGGTATTTTTGTTTGGGGGCACAGAAGAAAAGTTTACGGTTTCGTCTTGTGAAGGAGGAAGATCGTCTTGCCGGAGAGGATACAGCCTTTGTGAATTTTATTATAAAATTACTCTTCTGTAGCACTTTTAAATTTCGTAGAAAGATAGAAAAAATAAATCAAAGTAAACGAAACCTCGCAAACTTGAAGCTTTCGACAATCCCATAAACTGGCTTGTGCGCTGCTACGGCAGTCAGCGCAAGCGGGTAAGTCCCGAGCTTGCCAAAAATATTTAAGAAAGATTTATTCAAATTATAATAATTTTTAAATAAAATTTTCTTGTGGCAAAATTTTTTTTAACTAAATTAAAATTTTAATTTGTTTCAATTAAATTTACAAACCAAACTAAAATAGAAATCCTCAAGAAAAACTTTGTTTTTACAATACTTTATTAATGACTCCGCCGTTTTCCGTAACATTTTCAGCACCGACGATAACGAAGTCCACGCGTTCCATTATCCTCCCGACGGCGCTGTCCAAAATGATTGTCACTGGAATCTCGTGAAGCGAAAGTTCTTCTGCGTAGCGATAACCCAAACATTCGGGTCTTCCTGTTTAGCATTTTTAAAAATATTAAAAGATAGGTAGTGAAATCTTAATAACCTTCAGTAACAATGACTTTGAATTTTTTTTTCTGGGCAGCCTTCAGAAGAAGAGTTTTTACGGTTCGTGAGTATCCGTGTGTTAATATTGTCTACTGAATTTTAAATAAAAAATTTAATTAAAACGAATTTATAATAAGAAATTCTCATAACCGCTCCGTCAGTTATAAATCTTTCTCCCACTTGAACAGCCTTTTGCCTACTACTTTTTACATTCTCCACAAAAGTTTTCCCCCTTTCTATAATCTCGTTTTTCCAATCATTAACATCCTGTAGGAAAATCATCTTTTCGTGACCAACCATATAAGTTAACTCCTCAGGAGTAAAGTTATATATATAATTGTAAAGGTTTTAAAGTAGAACAACAAAAATAGTAATATACATTAAAATACCACTGACAAATGATCTTTATCGAAATCAGAAACAAATGTTAAAAAAAGTTGGCATCCAGAAGCCGTAGACAAGTGCTGGTTAGAAGCGTAGCCTGACAAAGATCTTTATAAAAAAAAACTGGGTATGATAAAAAAAAGAAGACCTATTAATTCTTCTGCTTTGCAATTTAATTGGTGTTTCGTCTCCATAAAAGTAGAAGCTAAATAATGAATATAATAAAGGTAATTTATTGAAAAAAAATAAAAAAACCACCTTCACACTTGAGCAAAAACTCCATTAAAACTACAATTGCTGAAACCGCACTGGAGTCATCTTTATTATCATTTAACTTTTGAATAAAGGATTTCACAATCTCTTTACACGTCTTACTTTAACATTATAAGAGAACATAAATAGAAAAGCAAAACCTGATTGAGCAGGCATTTTAGAATAAATCGTACAAAGATACTTGAGCCGGCCCTGAAAGACCTCCTAAACTTTTATAACCTCGTAGAAGTTACAAATATCTTTGTGGTGTTTACTTGCACATACACTTTTAAACTAATATACTCTGGTTATAAAAACTTCACAAGTCAACTTGTATGAATAGTTACCTTTTAAAAAAAAAGTATTAAAAACGTAAATGCTGTTTTACTTTCGGCTCTAGTTAGAATTAAATGTTCAGCGGGTTAAGAAAAGGAGGTTGTACCTAAACAAATGCTTTTTTCTAACAACTGGGTTATTATGATTGTCATTATTAAGTTTCTTTTACATAAAATAGGCATCAGAGGCGGTCAAGATCAATTTGATTGGAATGATGTTAAACAAGACAAGGTTCCATATATATATTAAACCTTTTTGTTCAAAGTAACTTTATAATTTTCTTTTAACATTTGAACTCTTTATATTATGCCATTGTTTCATTTTAGTTTCGGGAGAATTATTTGGGAAATTCTCTTATGGCACCAGGTTTGAGAATTTTTTTTATTAGAGAGCTACTTGCTTAATTATTAGTTTTATATATTATTATAAATAAAAAAGTTGGTCGTTGGCAAAAAGGCCGTGACTTGAATTGGTACACTAAAAAAAAACAGAGTAAACCCGCCCATAACATATCTAGTATTAATTCTTCTTATAATTTGTAATACTTTTTAAAAACTTTTTCGCTTTATTATCAGCCGTTCTGACAGCGGAAGAAGATGAAAGGAGAAAACACGAAATAGCTTTAATTAAACAGCAGGAGACAAGATTTACAGCCGCAATGCTGTACTAATTACGTTAAAAATCTTTAAGTTCTTCTATAAGAAATTAAGTTAAATACTTATTTTATTTCTATTTTAGTTACTAAGAAGTTACGTAGAGTTCGCGCTATAAATATTATTTAACTGTATTGGTTTATTATAAAATAGTAACGGCTCTTCTAAATATAAAAAACTAAAATTAAAAATAAAAGTAAATAAAAGTATATTTACTTATATATTTAAGTAAACTAATCATCTATTGCCCCTCTGTGTAGGGCAGGCGAGCCCATCAAGCACAGATTTGTGGAACTTTCAAGAGATGTAATTTGCTTTATAAATATAATCTAATTTTTTTCATTTTTTCTTTAAATATTTTGATCTTCAAAGAAAAATTGTAAAACCAACTTTTATGCTGAAAATTTTGAGTTAAATTCTTTTTACAAATTTTTAAAATTGACCAGAAACCCCAATTTCTACACTATAAAAATTTCTATTCTACATTGGAATATTTTTTAGATTAATTTTGAAACGATAATTTTGATTTTTTATATAATAAGCGATTTAAGAAATTTAGATACTTTTCTGCCTCATTTTTCTTCCCTTAATTAAATCTCTCACCATCTTTAAAACTGTCGCTTATATATTTTCATAAAGTTATACGTAGCTTGTACTAAATAAATTTAATTTTTTTAAACAATTTTTTTTTAAGAATTAAGTATAAAAATTTAATCTTTATAAAATTAATTCAGCTTATATATCGAAAGTATATATCATTCGGGTGACTTTTATAGAAGAGCGTCTCCTCTAATTATACTTTAAATTATATTTGAATATATTTTTTAATTCATAACTTGTTGTAGATTAAAATTTGTTTAACAGTATATAATTTTAATAAATTTGGTAACTAGGAAAAAGAAGAAATCCTTAAGCGGGGGCACTGCGGCGAGGTTATTGCGGGCGAAAGAGTAGAAGGGATCGGATTTTCAAAGTTTTACCCTTCATCATAATTACAAGAGATTAATTATAAATTATAAAATTTTGCGTTTCAGGTCCGCCAATTATAAAAGAAGGCGAGAGAATACTGGCGATTCGCTTTTTATTAAAACTCCAGAAGAAATGATTAATAAAAGTTTGGAAGAAAATAAAAAAGAAACTGAAGAGGAAAAGCCTCTGAAAGTAAAAAAAGCAAAAAAAAAGAAAAAGAAAGAAAAAAAGAGCAAGAAAAGTAAAAAGAATAGAAAAAATAAAATAAAATCTTAAAACTACATTATTGCCGATTCTGTGATTTATTGAAAACTGGAATAATTAAATTAGAAAATTTGAATAGAATTAGTGGTTAATAAATTCCAGGAAAAATTTTAATTAGGAAGGTTTCGTAAATCATGTACTAAAGTGTATTCAGAGGACTTACAAAGTTTTACAGATTTAAATCTTTAAAATTTACTTAGTCGTCATTACCAAGTTAAAAATTTTAAAGCTAAAAAAAAATTGAACTTTATCAACTTATTACCAAATTTGTTTATTAGCTAATAATTTTTTAAGTAAAACACGATTTAAAATTATGAAATAATAGTGTTATTAAAAGTTGATTTACTTTAAAATTTTACTAGAAATAAAATTCTCTATAATTAATACAAAATTTTCTCAATTGCAATTAATAAAAGTATTTTTGACTTAGTATAAGTAATAAACAGTTAATAGTACTGTTGAAGAAAATAATTTACTTAATACAAAGTAGTACTTGCGTTAGAAATTAAAAAGTTGCGGACATACACTGCTGATCCTTCAAATATCGGTTGTGATTTAACTTAATGAGCAGTAATAAAAATCAAAGTTCAGGGTTGTTTCTTAAAGCCAATCTCTTACAAGAATAATAACTCGATGACCTGTCCGCTGCAAATGCTTAAAGGTTTTTAGTAATTAAGCCACTTTTTTTAAAGTAAAATCCATCTTATTTTACGCCTTTATTGCCTCCTACACGATCTTTTAAAACTTGAGGTATTTGGAGACGTGCAACAAATCTGTATCTTCGACACCTTATGTTCTTTAAATAACCTACTTACCTTTAACTTTACTTTTAAGTCGTGAGACTATTTAATCTAAACTAACCAAAAAGTATTATTATCACGTTAAATAAGGAAACACGGTAATTCAAAATAGTGTTCTAAAATAAGAGTATTTCTCTGAAGGAATTTTAAAAACACATATTGATAGATTGTTAAAATTTGTAAGATTAAGTGGAATAATTAAAAAAAACTGCAAAATAAAAACTAAAAGGGATAATATATAAAGAGGAAGTTTTATAGAAAAATGTTGATAAAAGGAACGCTAGCAAAAAAAAAGGGAAATAAAAAAAAAATTATAATAGGACAGGTAAAAAAGTATCAGATTATTTTTATATAATATTATATTTAGTAATACTTAACTAGTAAGTATCTAAACCCTAACCTTAAACTTAACCTAAACTTTCCTATTTATGTTCCTTTGAAGCTCACGAGCATAAAAGAATGTAACGGATTTTATTTTTTAAAAATTTACCTATATCTTTGGTTATATGATATAAAATCTTACTTCTTCAGGCTTTTCACTTCCACTTATAAATGGCTCGAAAATTACACTAACGGTTTTTTTAACGAGGTGGGAAGTCTACACTTCCCAAAGGTCGTGAAATTAAGAAAGAAGTAAAAACTGATCAACTAAAAAACTTCTCGCCTACACTCGAAAGACAAAATTAGGTAGTGGACGCTTTACATCAGAAAATATATACCAACCTTGGCCTCACGGCTATACTTATTACCAAACGCTCCTGCATTTTTTAACTATATTGTGGTGAAACATCTATTAATAGAGGAAAGCGTGCAAACAAGGATCATAATATTAAGTATATTACGCATTGCTAAGCCAGAGCGTCAAAGATTAAATTATTTGCTTGCCTCCGCACATGTGCAAACATGCACATTAAGTCCCACTGATTACTGTAATTAGTAATAATATTAGTCATTTTTAAGAATATTGAGCTCTATATATTTTTTTAAAAAACGAACAAAGTTATGGATGATAGTTTTAATATACATTGTTATAAACAAAACCATGCCTTTTGTAGAAAAGTCCATAGAGGTTTGTTAGGATATATTATTACGATTGTTTTAAGTACAAAGATACATACACGAACAAGCTACGTGTCGCACAACTTTTTCCCATTTGTTTACAAATACATAAATTAATAAGCCACCGATGGACTGTTTAGTAGAACTAAATTTGTTATAGGACCGTTAGAAAAGGATATTTTAAAATAAAACGTGTTTAACTCCCTACTAAATACTTTTTTAAAATGATTTTTTTTGCCAAAAAAGACGGGGATTTTTTCTAAGTTTAGGGGCATTCCATATTTAAAACAAATATCTATTGAAGAAACGGTTCCTGTAGCGGGTTACTTTATATTTTGTATACTTTTTCTATTTTTTTTGGTTTATGGTCTTCTTCAACTTGGTAATATTTTTCTTTTAATACGATAATACTAAATTTTTAATATTTAAAACGATTTACAACTTTTAAAATAACGAGGTTTTTATAAAAGTGTTTTCATTCAAAGTCGAGCATACTTTAATAAACTACGTTTTCATTTCTGGCATGATGTTTAATAATTTCGTTAAAGTCCAGTAAACAGAATAATCCCTAGATAGCTGACACTGAGGGTTATTAAAATCTACTTGACTTCAAACTATTTACTTATCACACGCACTGTAATTTTAAGCTACTATAATTTAAAGGCTTTTGGCTTCAATTGATAAATATTATTTTTAATACCTTACTATTTACAGTTAGGTCTTTATCATCCAGACCCCTATAACAAAAAGTACGCACTATTTATAAATTTTACAAGCCGAGCATATACTCTATTTTAAAAAAAATAATGCACTTACCGTGTTAAAAAGTAGTTTATCAGTCTCCCCATGTAAAAAAAAAAATTAAATATTGCGTTTTGCTTTTACTACAATACAGAATAATCGACTTTAAAAACGGTTTACCTCGCAAAATGCGAAAAGTAAGGAAAACAAAAAAAGACGAGGAAAACTTTAAGTATAAATAAAAAACTAAATGAATTCAATGTTTAAACGGACTTTTTTAATATATATATTAATTTATCTATAACGCAAGAATCTGCTTAATTCAAAACTAAAAGTTCTTAAACGTCTTCGCTGTTAGGAAATTTCGGGGGCTTAACTAACAATACTAGTCAGCCGAGTTCAAATAATTGTCAGGCGTATGAGGCAGGAAACAATACCATAGTCGTCATCCCTACCGGCCCGGTTAGTTTGATATGCGCAATAGTTTAATTTCCTTGCGTAGTATGAAAACATAGAAACCGTATATGAGTTCGACGGACTTAAAGCTTTACGATGGTAATAACATATATATACCTTAATAATAAATTTATTATTTCGCTTTAGAAGATCCTATCCCTATACCTATTCAAAAGTTTGTGCTGGTTCTCGTTAGGGGATTGTACGGAGATCTTCACGGATTAATAACTGAATATCTGATGAAATTGAGATAGTATGCCATATTAGTTTTTTTTTGGAGATATTTCTATAGTTTTGCAATATAATAGTGCACGCTCTGAAACTTTAGCGAAGAGATTAGGTTTAGAAAATAAACAAGTTTTAGATATCCTTTCATCTATGAGGGATGTTATTGCCAGGTACATTCTTCGGGAATTGTGGGTTTTTTTTAAAACTGATCTTTAATTTATTTTAAAAGTGTGTTATTATTATACTGTTTTATATATTAATAATAATATATTAATGTTGTTCCCTCTCGAGCCCCGAAAAGTTAACAAAAGTAACCTTTTTTAAACAAAAAAAAACTTATAAAACTAGTGAAGAAAAAATTAAAGACAAGACTGAAGATATAAAGAGGTTTCGACACGGCCCTAAAAAGGAATTTTATTATTACATTAACTATGAAACAATTCGTGAAATTTACTGCTACAAGAAAAAAAAGATCTTCGAGTCTCTTGAAGTTATTACAACTAAATTTATTTTAATTTTTAAATAAATTTTAAAATTTAAGGAGCAAAAAGCTCAAACTTCTTATGAATGCGAAAAATGCAAGAAACAATATACCGAGTACGATATTATGTTTGGCAATACTCGTTGCCGCACTTGTCTGGACGCAGAGGTTTTTCTTTATAGTATGCGTGCCGTAAACTACTTTTCCCCTCTACCTTCAACTTACAAAGATTATCGTAGTGGATCGCGAGCATCACGAATCTCAAAATTTTCGGTGGGCTCCTATTAATTTATTTTTGCTAAAAATTATATGCTTCCGGTCATTGGTAGACTGCGGCAAGACTTTAAAACTATCGCGCGAGCCTATGACGAGTGTGCAGACATCGTCATCGAGGCTGAAGATTTGCCTAACGTTGTAAATTTTCAGTATAAATATTTTTTAATTATAATTTTATTTGATTTTTTTAGCAAAAGAAGAAATTGATTGACCTCCATCCATTCGACAATAAAGAGGCCTTGCGAACCAGTAAAGTGTTAGACCCTTTTCTATTAATATTTATTATCATATTTTCAATCTTTTTTTATAGATCCAATTTTGCACCGCATAAAGATAATATTAGAGAAATTCACGTGGACATTGGAAGAAAAAGTAGTCAAGAAAATTTGACTTCTATTAGCGATAGTTATGTAATCTCGTACTTTTTAGGGGTGCGTTCATTATTTTTTGTAAATTTTGTAGGGAAGAGTTTTGGATTAATCTTTTATTTTACTTGGCAGTGTTTATATAGTAACGAGTCCGAAACGGAGCTGGTCGAATGCGGATTTAGGGGATCTTCACTGAATCATTTGCATGGTTTAGCGATGTCTAGCATTCATCGCCATTAATTTATTTTTTGGCTGCTAAAGAGTTTGTTAATTTTAAAAAAAGAATTTGATGGCTTTCAAATTTGCTATGAAACGACTGATGATTTTACTAGAGCCACCGCCCGAGTGGCAGGGAGAGTAACAGAGATGCCTCAAGTGGATCGGGTCTGAATCGCCTGCGTTGATATTTATATATAAAAATATTTTATACTCTGTTTTTCTCGCAGAGAAGTGAGGATATAATGACGGACGAAGAATATGTCGATTACTATCATCTCCGGTGCGCTATAATTAGGAATCACATATGTGCTTTATTTCGATCTTCCTCGCATTTAAAAAATAAAAAAAAAATAAAATGACTTTATATATATTACGGGGTTGTCTGCGACAGTTTACTATTTTAATTTTCAAAGGCAGCAAGATTGAGCTCTAAGCGATTATTATAAAATACTATAAAAAGAGTTAAGCTTTACTTATATAGAAGATAGCTCTAGAGAACAAATGGGTTTGGGACTAAATCTCACACGAATAGTTAGTAAATATATTGCACCTCTGTTAAAAGAAAACTTAAGTATGCAGATATTTTTTATAAAGTGTGGAGAGGTTGGGAATCATCGACATATATCATAACTATGAATAAGATTTAAGTAAATAAGGTTTCAAGTATTGTCTTTAACGCAATGAAGAAAGTAACTTTGAGTTATGCGACCCGCTGGTGGGTGTACTTAATTTCCTAATTTTAGATTTAATAAGAAATAATAATGTTCAGGATTATTCTTTAACGGAAAATGCGGGGCTTTGGGAAGTAACACTTTTGCTTTTGGGTAGGATGCCGTTAGTATAATTTCATGCCGTCAAGGTTGGCATTAAAAGTTATTAGAATTTTGGTAGACTGTAAATTAGATTTAGCTTTACCAGAAGAACTATAAGCAGCCGGTGATAATATCCCTCTTACCAAGTTTTATTAACTTCTAACCAAATTAATTAGTAAAATTTTTGAAAAGTTCTACAATTTTTTATATCAAACTTTCTCTGATAGTATCACCACACCGTAACTTTAATAACGAACAGAAGAGTTGGACTTCAGATAAATTTAGGACAAACTCCTTTTAGAGAGTAAGTAAGAATTTACCTTTAAACTCCGAACAGACGATTAAAAATAACTTTAGAAAATAAATATACTTGAAAAAGTTTTCTTTGTTATTTATTATATTTAATTAAAGAATTTTCGTAAGTATTATATTTATTTTCTAAAAAATTTGTGGTTAATTTGCTGTCCGATAGCACAGCTGATAACTTACTGGGTTTTCTTATTCTTGAAAAGTTCTGCTTGGAGAAGAGATGTAAAAAAAAAAAAAGAAATTTTACGCACACTTTATACCTTTTGAGAATTTGGAAATTTACTTGAAGAATTGTCGGGAACTACAGAAGCGTCCAAAGCGTTATCAGTTGAAAGGAATGTTGCTTTTGAATGAGTAGAAAGTGTAGACCGCAAAGAGGCAACAGTTTGAGTATCGGAAGCCGAAAGATCTTCTGTTATATAGTTTTATAATAAATATTAAAAAAAAATTATAATAATTTTACCCTTTTCAACGGAAATAATATCGGTCTTCACAGAATTTTCAGAAGTGTACTTTAAAGCCTTATAATTTATAATCTCAAATGTGTTTGCAAGACATTCTTTTACTTTTTTAAGAATTTGTTGTTGTCTATGTAGAGCTTGATCTTTGCTTGTATTTGTTAGTTGATTAAAAAAAATAAAACATAATTTTACTTATATCTTCATAGTCGCTGAGGTAGTCTTGGACACCGGAAATATTAAAATCGTCGTAATTAAAAGTTGCATATTCAAGAAGTGAATCCTCTTATAAAGACAGATAAGAAATGTCAAAAGTCTTCTTAAGATTATCTAACCTGCAGTCTCCGTCATTGATATTGTACAAATCCCGCTTTGTTTTATATGTACTACTTAGTGAGTAAAAAAAAAAATTTCAAAACTCAAGTTTTGTAAAAATGCTTTTAGAATCATTCAAAAGTAGTACAGCTAACGGCTTAGAGCAACTTCAAAAGAGCGTTTAGTTCGATGAAGTATTTTACAAGAGTATACGTGGCTTGAGGTTAAGAAGAGAAGAAGGGAAGAAGGACGAGTTTTAAAGGAAAACCTGAAAATCACATTCTACTCCATTTTAAGCTAGCAAGTTGACATCAGGCGAAGTTCTTAACAAATTTTTAAAAATAGTATATTATTTGAGGGCTTTCTACCCTTACCACTTTCCGAAATTTAAAAGATACTTCTGCGGACCACAAAAGGCAGGGATCTTTACACATTTTATCAAACTTAGATATAACCAGTGTTTTTACTCAACTGCTTAATTTATACAAATTAAAGTAAGGGTTTTTTTTTCACCACGAAAAGCTACCAATATAAGAATCTAGCTAAAGTTATGGTTTACTTAACTGAACGTAACTTGTTAATAAGTAAAAAAAGAGCGGGTAAAAGTAAACACTTTTTTTAAAAGATAAATCATCCATAAAGGTTCTCAGAGAAGAAAATTTTATTGCCTAAGAAGTTGAAAAATTTATTCTATAAAGTTATTATCAAGTAACGTTATAAGTTGGTTATTCTAATTAAAGAGATGAAATATATTACCAAAAAAACTAGCTATGATAATTTAGTGGCAAACGAAAATATTTTATTTTTTTTAAATTGTAGAAAATATACATTTCCTGCTGTAGATAAATATTGGGCAAGCTAAACACTTTATACAGTAGTAACTTGCGTTAAAATCGATATTATTAAAAATTTATAAATTTTTATTAGATAAAAATTCTTGTTAAGTAAATTATTGAAAGGTATAGTTGCATTAATAAATATAGGAGCTTATATATTTTTTTTTCTTATAATTACATTTAATTCCTATTAATAAAATTAATTGCTGTTAAGACCTAAAAATTCCCTTTTTTTTGTCCGGCCGTTACTAAAAAAAGGAAAAGACAGTTTCTAACTTTTTTTCAGCCTTCGGCTGCAGAGAGATCTGTTTCGTTAAATTATCCTCTCTGTATTTGTTAAAAAGCTTTTAATATTAAAGCTTTTTTCTTAATTTGCATTTCCGAATGACCTAAAAATATATATAGAACTACGATTGCCGTACCATGAATTTTGGGGGTAAATGATAGCAATTAGTACTTTGTCAGGGTTTGATACCTTAATAAATGAATTCCTGTTTCCTTAAAGTGGGCGCCCTCTTATTGGCCTTTTGCTATTCCTAGACTTGCATTATCACAGGAAGTGGCTATAAAAATCGAAAATATATACTTAAGGAAGAAAAAATGTAAAAATTTTTATTAGAGAATGTATAAGTAACACAATTATTAGGCTTCCCTTTCATAATAGAACATGTTCCCCGCAGGAAACAAAGAGCAAAAAACTTAACCTCCAGTCCCAACCCCGAACCCTCCTTCAAGTGTGCTATCTCCGTTTGTATCTACGGGCATGCTAAACTAATGAACGCATGTAGTTAAGAAGTTTTAAAAACTATCAGGAACATAAAAAGTGCTACTGCTTTGTTCGACTTCACAGGTTTACTAATGGATGCGAATCTACTATAGACGCTATTATATGTACACGGGGATTCTATACTTGAGTAAAAGCATAAGTTAAAAAGTTTATTATCCATTTTTGGCTTTGATTGCTTTCAGCACACAAGAGAAAGAAAAAGGAATTTCATATTTAGAGATTCCAGCTTGAACGAGGTATGAGAAGATGCAATTTAACTGCGTAAACCTATTCACTCACTACAAAATTTTTTGATGTGGGTAATGTAGTAAAGAATATGAGTAAAACTGGAACTCTGTTGACTAGACTTAACCTAGTTCTAATTTAGGTGAAGTCACTTAATAAGACAAATTGTATAAATTTTTTAAAAAAGAAATAAGGCTTCTAATAACCCCTTTGGGGTTCTCTCAAATATCAAGACTGCTTGTACCTTAAACTACTAGCAACTTCAGTAATTTTATTATTCATACAGCCAACACAATCTTCAGCAATTCCGACCTAGTGTGTGTACTTAAGCTCTTCAAAATTCATGAATTAGACTAAAATACTCATTCTCGAGGCTTTATCTACTTCTTCTTCAGTACTTTAATAGAACATATACGTAATAGCACTATTGGCATTGCGTTAAAAACGCTGATAAACTAGCTGAAACCCGCTTCTATTATGATATTATAGTGGAATTCTGTGACTTACTTACTACTAATAGACTTTGGGGTGATAGCATTACTTTTTAAGTGTTTTTAAACGCTTTCATTAGTTTAACTAGTACTATTTGTTAAACTATCGGCTCTGCTGACATTGGCATTTAATAAAGCGCTTATTATAATACTATGCAGTTCTAATAATTTACTGGGTAAGCAGACGTATATTAAGTGCAATTACCTAGTCTATACTATAAATAAGTTAGTGGGACGAAAACCCATGAGAAGATTTTTTTTGTTCTACATTAATAAAACAAGGTATTTATTTATCATATTTAAAGTGTGGTGGTTATTTAATTTGCTCTATAAGAGTAGATTTTTCCAAGGTAAAACAATTTAATAATTTTCGCTCCAGAAGGTAGAAACTAGTAAGTATATTTACAACTAGGAAATAATATCTTTTATAACATTAAGGGGATTAACCACTATGGTCTATCCTTAATTAGAGACTCAAGCAACGAACCAGCATACCTATAGGTAACTTACCTTCTCTGAAAAGTAAGAGAACATGAATAAATCGTTGAGAAGGGCTTAGCATTGAGGAAAGAAATTTCCAGGGCTAATGACTTGAAAACAAGGATCTAGTTTTAGTCCTAATTAAAGCTAATGCCTGTTAATATTTATCCAAGGTGAGCACATTCAAGATAGAACAACGCTAATGTTAAGTACTTTAAAGAAAAGTTCGAATTAGATCCTAGAGAGAGTGAAATAAACATGCAACTGACTGTTGTGGCCTACCATCTTTGATCTCAATTACGTCATCATCTTATTGATAAAAGTATATGTTAACATGCATTTATACTTTGCCTGAGAGTTGACCTGTCTCTCGGGTTTCTTTAGCAACTATTTAATCATACTAGCATACTACCTCGAGGATATCATACAGGCCCTTTCTTTGGTTCACAATTGAACTCTAAGAATTAACCAGGTTTAGCAAGTAATCACCAGTCACTCCGCAGCATACATATTAACATATGGAAGAGGCTTTGGTGTTATATTTATGACTATTTCATTACTATTCTAATGCTCTGCTGAGAACTTTCTGGAGGGAGCCCAACTTGCACTGCTGCCATAAATTTGTCAAGGGACACTAACAAATCTTAAACTTGGTTTAAACATCGACATGTTATATATAAAATTAATATACCACCGGAGCTGAACTTATTAAACATTCTAAACTGGATCCTTGTATAAATTTACTCAATCTTTCTTTTCCTGTTGGGTTAGATAGGAATACCACTAAGAGCTTTATCTTTTTTTCCTTGAGTATACTTCTTGTCTAAAGCACATCGCAGAAAGTACCATTACCACTCTAACATAACCTTTAGGGATTATGACCCTGTTGAAGAATAAATAGCCGAAGGTAGGTGCGCCTTTCTATAGCAATATAAGAGAGAAGAGCTTGTTCTCTCGTACCTCGATGTCCGAGCATGTGTGTTTCTATCTGTATTATTAACGCTTGTCTTGAACGGGCATCCTTCGCTAACACTGTGACTACAGCGATCTTGGCTATTATTTGGCTATGATTTAAAGTTAGCTAGGCCGAAAAACTAATATTATACATCAGCTATGTAGGTACTCATAAAGTGTATTGTGGTGCTGATGGTTTATTCCTCATGAACCTCTCAACGTCTCATGGTTAAAAGTAATAAAGTGATCTAAAGATAGACCTTATAGTAATATATAACAATTTTGTCTCAAGTTAGCCTCCATCGAACTGCAAGGAGGTGTCATTTAACCATCTGCTTTCACGGACAGATCTGTCACGGAGAATTGCCAACCTCATGTAGGTTTACGTCAAGAGTAGTTACCAATCGACATAGTAGTGGTCAGTAACCCTCTTCTATACTTGTGATGAGCGGAAATGAAAAGTAAGCTTAATTTATCATCATTATCTTTAAAGTACTCTACCTTAATAGAGGCGAATAGTTGCCAATGAAAGAAATGGATAGATTATAATGACTAGCATAATTCTGAGAATCTCTAAATAGGCTTACATTATGCGCGATGCGAAATAACACCATTAGCCGCTTTATTTCGGCGGTGAGTAACTACTTGAAAACTGGTACTATTCAGTAAAGTGCTAGGTGATAATATAGTACTCGAGATCTTTGTTTATATAAAGAATATTTACTGTTTGGCTAAGTATAATATTGGCTAAAGGAAAGAATGCTTAATTCCCATATGTAGATATGAGCTGGTAGATAACTAAGTAAGAGCACTAATACGAATAGTTTTATTTCTATATACTATAATGAAGACGGTCCAACAGTCGTATGCAAGAGATGCAAGGTATTCCTGACTAAGAGCCCAACCTACGCAGTTGCCATGAGTGGATTTAAATGATCAAATAGTGATACCTAGCAGCGATCACAACTCAATGAAAATTACTAAGTAGCCTATTCCATTAGGTATACTAGCATTATTTGCACTTTTCTTTGGGGCTTTCGGGATTTCTTGAAACTGATTTAGAATTCTTAGTAATTTTTTTTAGTTTTATATTAATTAAAAAGTACTCTTTATAAAAACAGGAAGATTACTTTCGAGCTTTCTACTTGTAAGTTAAACTAACAAGCAATCATAAGCAAAGTGGGAGCTCGTAGTCGAGGATGCATGGCTTGCAATTGCTGAGTGAACTCCAGATGGTGGTTTTCGGGGTATTCCACCAAAGAGCAGGAATCCGGGCTCAATTTTCCCCCTTTTTTCTAACCTTCGGGAGCGTACACTGGAGGATGTTGTGCCTTGACCCTTCCTGTATAAGAAAAATACAGATTTAGCGGTTGAAGATTATATTAGATATCCGCTATAAGATGCCATTGACAAATAAAAAGACAGTGAGGCCCAAGTGATAGGGCGACCTGTAACTGCAGTCGCTGCCCAGTAAGAAGCTAAACCGAAGTTTAGTGTTTAGCTTTCATGGGCGTTAGCTTTAGGATATATATACTAATTAGATTTGTTTTCTAAGGACCGGATGTAGCTCTTGCCGAGATAACACTGTAATTAATTCCTTAATCGCAAAATTATAAAATTTCAAAATTCTAAACTTTTAAAGACGATTAGGGTCGCTCCTTTTCTCAGTTTAACGTAAAACTAAAGTACCTTTTGCCATTGAAATCAGGGATGATCTATGTAAACGGAGGTTTAATGTACTTAAGTATTGGTAAATTTAATTTATTGGGAATTGTGAATTATAAACCTTTTCAAATAACACGGCCTTACAAAGATAACAACCGATTATTCGAGCCCATCTCAATTGTATGGTCTGCCTGTAATTAACAACTATATTTTGATAAGAGTAAAGGGGAATATTTTTATAAATAGTCAGTTTTATTTATATCACATAAAAGCTACCCACAACAACTAAAAACTTTTAATATTATTTCAAATGTATTTTATTCTAAAGGAAAGAAAGTGTATTAAAGCAATAGAAAAGAAGAAACTGATTTATACTCCGGTAGTCAAGTCTTTACTTTTATAATAGTCATTTTAACGGGGACATTATCTTGGTCATTTTATAGCCAATCATCTTTTCAATTTATCATAGAGCACTTTCAGAACCCTTCCATATTTCGCTCCTACACGAATGTGATTGATAAGTTATCACTTTAAATTTTTTAACTCCCATTTTTTTGTATGGCATCACTGCATTTAATAAAAATTATTAGTTATAATAATTACATTTTACTATTTGACAGAGCTAGAGATCAAAGTAAAGGATAACACAATATAGAACTTTGGGTTGCTTATGGAGTATATAGGAAGGGTACTATTCGTATAACCTAAGTTTTATTTTAAGTTATTTTTTTCCTTTCTTACTGGATATATTAAAGGTTCTTCATGGCGTAAAAAATGTTTACAATGAACTTAACCCTGCAACTTTGAGTGGGGCGATCGACGTCATTGTGATTGAGCAACCAGACGGTTTGCTTTCATAAATTTTAGACCAACACACTTATATAAACTTTAAGTATAAAATTTTAAGCTTACTTTGTATTAGATAAAAGCTTTTATTTGTAGGCTCTTTACTTGGATCTCCTTTTCATGTGCGCTTCGGAAAACTTAATTTAGTGCGAAGTCGCGAAAAAATTGTATATAACTATAACTATGCTGAATTTTTTGGGGGGTATGAAAACGGTTATCTTCCTTCCTTCTAATAGATTAATATAGAAATCAACGACGAACTCATTGACGTTAAGATGAAGTTAGGTAGCGCCGGGGAAGCCTTTTTTGTGGCTAAATGCGAAGTACTCTAAGCTGTTATTTAATAAAACTTTTAATAATACGCTATAACCTAGAGGGGGGTCATTCCTAGAAATCTTGCCACCTCACCACTTATTAGGAGTGTACCTCCAGTTGTCGATGTGATATTATTTGCTAGGCTATTTTTTTTTTGTGCCTTTTTTGATTCACACGATTCTTAGGGGCTTGAGCCTTTAGTGCTCTCATCTCCAACTTCGTTCGAGAGCCCAAAACATTGCGGTAAATTTATTTAGGCATCGTGAGTGAATTCTTTTTATAGCACGTGTTATTTAGCCGACTATTGCGCGCTCCCCGAAAGCGATTTTCTCTCATCGTCGGCGCTTTCAGCCTCTGTCGCGCAGATGCAGTCTGAGTCCCTTCCAGCGGAGCCCCCCCCGCTGCCGGGCGATTCCTATGAACCCCAGACCCAGCCCGGCGGCGACGCTGGCATTGAGACCAGCGACCGCATTACCAATCAAAGCAGAGAGTTGACAGTCCAGATGGGGGACGAGCGATTACTGTTAAGTTATGAAGAAGATTGCGAGGGAAAGGAGGGGAGTAAAGAACTTGCGGAAGTAACTTGGGGATGGGGTCATCTCCCGGAAAAAAAGAGTTTCTTTTTTTTTTCCGTGCTCTTCATTTTTGTAATTGTGTTTTTACCGCGCTTTCAGTGTTTACTGGTTTTGTAGTTTTTAGTGAGATAGCTACTACGCCTTTATAGTTTCCAACAATTTTTTTCTTTAATTCAGCCTCGGTTTCATCTTCGCCCACTTCTTTCAGTATGAGTATGCAGACAGCAGAAGCTAAAGCGTCTCGTCAGAAATGGGTGTGGCGCGGTTTGCTGAACATTTTCTCTAAAGAAAAGGTTTACAATCAACTTATTCTCACTTGCTTTCGGGGGTAAGCCATCCTGTTAGAAGCCCTCAGAGAAGAGCCCCCTTTACTTGGGATTGGGCGCATCTCCCGCCGGCCAGCCTCCGCCTGAAGTCGCCGTACTTTCCCTTGAAGGTACTTTTATACTCTTGTATAAACCTTTAATTGGTAGCCTACAACAAAACTGTACTGCTTTATTTATTATATACCTGTTTTGTAGAGCTGGCCAGTGGGTGTGCAGAAGAGCCTCAGAACCCGTAAATTCTGTTGTTTGAGAAGCTTAGTAGCTGCACTAACCACGTGCTAGTAGACCTCACGCGTCTACACTACATGATGACTCGTTGCTAGCGAGCGACTCAGCTACAGCGCCAAACTGTGATCAAGAGCCACGTGATCAAGCGTTACTGGCGCGCGAAGTTGCAACCGATAAGAAAAGCTTTTTTGACACTGTGGACTTATCGCTGTGCAAAAGTATTCTTATGGGGATGTCTGCCAGCGAGGTTCTACCATATGGTATGGTTTTGCATATCTTAGGAAACACCTTTTTAGGAAGTGGCTACCACTTTTGACCAACGACGGCTCTCCTTTAATACTTTTTCTGCCAATCCTAATGTCTTAAAAGATCCCGAGCTGGTAGTCAGAATAGCCAACAAGTAAGTCTTATTAGCTTTATATAATGTTTATCTGAGTAGAATGTTCAGTTTCCTGCTAACTAATATTCGTTAAAAATAACTAGTTATTACGATTGGGAGGTTGCCAGCGTCATCATTATGTCTAAGCTGGCTTTTGGTATGGATCCACCAAAGTCGTACGAACTTCTTCAGTACGAACAGTCGTCAGTCGGTGCCTACTGTCCTCAACCGTCGGGTGCTCTATTTTCTGATCACTCCCACTCTCTTTTCTCCTTTACTAACTGGCCTCCAGATTTGCCGGATAAGATGCCTGACTTTCCGGAACAACTCGTGTCCTCCTCTCCTTGTGCGCTTCAAGGGCACTCACCTCCTGAGCTCTTGACTGCCGAAGCGGGCATCTGTTCGTTTGGGTGTGGCAGATGCTGCCCTTTTCCTCGCTGTCGTATCTACAGTCCACCTTCACTAGTATCGGGGACTGCATGAACAAGGAGGGCCCGTTTTACAAGACCTTGCGAATGCCGCCAGAAGCTCTTTCCCGCCTCCCTTTAAAACCGGGTGCGAACAAAGCCCGCTTTTTCATAGTCACGAAAATGCAGGGCACAGCCGAGTGTTTCTGCAACATCTACCGGTAGGGCCCATCGAGAGCTTCCTTTTCCTTTTTAACGCAAACCACCGTGCCTTGCACAAAGCTGGTCATACAAGGACAAAATAGTCATATCGGACATAGACGGCACCATCACCAAATCCGATGCTTTGGGTAGTTATTTAATGTTGCAACCACTTTCAGGGTCGGGCGTGGCGTTGACCATAGTGTGGCCCTGCTTAACTAAGCTAGAGCGCCCTATGTTTAAGCGTCGAACTGCTCATCGCCCTTTCATGATAGGCCATTTACTATATGTGCTGGGGAAAGATTGGACCCAATCAGGCGTGGCTCAATTGTACTCCATCATCCGGGAAAACGGTTATAAACTTTTATATCTCTCTTCAAGGGCTATTGGACAGGTAAAATTTTGTAATGCTGCGGTGCTCTCGATCAACAATATTTCTTTGGTGCGCCCTGTGTTATAATAAACAGGCCAACTTAACACGTTATTATCTTCAAGGCGTCAAGCAACAGGGCCTCCGCCTTCCGGACGGGCCGGTTTTACTTTCGCCCGACAGACTCGTCACTTCTTTACATAGGTCGCCTTATATATACCCGCCCACCCCATTAACCCTGAGAGATCTCCTTGCTCACAGGGAGGTAATCCGGAAGAAACCAGAAGAGTTTAAAATCGCTTGTTTGCGCGATATTCGTGATCTCTTCCCGTCCAACTGCAACGCCTTCTATGCGGGCTTCGGAAACCGCTTATCTGTAGGCGCCTTCTTTTTTTAAACTTGTTACTTGCTACAAAGCTTATATCTAAATGCCTGACGTAAAGGACCACATCTCGTACAAAGCTGTGGGCGTTCCTTCTAGTCGCATCTTTATTATAAATTCCTGCGGTCAAGTGCGGTCAGAAGATCATACTACCTTTTCCTCTACGTACTTTAACTTGTCGGAGGTACTTTAGTAAACTTTTAATCTTTTGAAAAGGATAATATTTTCTATTCAAATTCAGCTTGCCCCTGCCATGTTTTCTCCTAGAAACGAACTAGACGCAAACTATAACATTACTGAAACATTTAACGATTTTAACTATTGGAACTTTTCACCTTTTCAACCTGAGCTGTTGAATTTGGCCAAAATTCCAGAAACTTGCGCTTATAATGAGACTTGAATAATATGTCTTAGTTAGTTACTCAACATGAAAACCAATCTTCCTAGGATCTCAAAATTGGGGCTGAGTATTTCTTAGCTAACTGTTTCTACGGACGTACGCAAAGTTCTTAGTTAACCTCGTGAATTTTTAAAGGAAAAAATTTAAATTTAATTTAACTGTATGATTTGCGGCCAAATATATGAAATAAGCTATCGGAGCGTTTTAATTAAAAACCATTTTTATAATTTTTAAGTTTTTAAAGGCGTAGCTTCAAGGAGTGGAACGCAAGCCATATGATGTTGATAAGTAAGTAAAACACTTTTTTTCTGTTTTTATATCGCACAGCCTTTCAACGGTCCTGATTTATATAAAATAATATTAAGCCGAAAATTTGGTTTTTTATGCTTTTAACTGATTTGAAGCCTAAAACCCTGACCCATTTGGGGGTATACTAATTAGAAGGTGGTATTAAGTGCTGTAAAGTAAGCTTGTGCCTTGGCAAGATCTGAATAGAGACGTAAAGAAAATTAATAAAGTTGGGCCCTCTTAATGACCTTTTTGTATATGGACTCAGTTCTACTAACTACGAGATAGAGAACAAAGCTAACACATAGAAGAGTTATTTATGTTTGAAAAGCACTGTAGTTAATATTAGTATATATGTAAAGTTTAACTTCAAAATGTAAAAAAAAAAAATTCTCGAATTGGTTCTGTGAGTTGTCGATTACACAATC